CTGCGCCGACAAGGAAGTTGAGAGGAGAGAGAGCCATCGCGGGTGATTGCCCATGGTGAGGTGTTTGTCGCAAGTCAGATCAGATCGAAACAAAAACGCAAGAACCTCGAATTAGGAAGGAAAAGGGAACGGAGAACTCCATGGTCGATCGATTCAGACTGGCAACTATACACAGCATTTGACAATCGCCGATCGGACCAGACCGTGGACAATTTGTTCCCCGAGGCCTCCCGGAGCTCACGTCGATGCATTTGAGCTGGGGACAAAGCAGGGCAGAGAGCGCCATGACGAGGTCATGATAGGAGAGGGAAAGGAGGAGGGCAGAGAAGGGAAAACGGGGGAGAGTTGTTGTTTGGGACTTGGGTCAGAGTCACGCGCTACCTCCCCGCAAAAAAAGAACGAACGAGGGTCCGAAAAAAACGAAAGAGCGAGGGCCGGAGGAAAACCAAAACGGCGGAGGGACAACCAACGAGCGAAGAATCGAGGCCCGAAACCCGCAGGGACAGCCAGGCAAGGCATATTGCAGCCTCTTGCGTTCAACGACCTGGACACTGCGGCGACCACTGGCCGCAGAAATCTGTGTCTGTGCGTTGAGCACCCCCGTCACCAACAGACTTTGCACCTCCCCGACCGATGCATGACTCAGGAACAAATGGGCACCACTCGACCGTGACGCGTCGGGCGTCAGGCTCCGCCACGGCCTGGCGATCGCCATGGCCCCATTTGCGACAGGCTCTCTGACGGCTCGGCAGGGAAGGACATGCGGCGATGAACAAACAAAGAGGAAGCAAACATATATCAGCCCTGCCGCTTCAACCATATGCGAGCCCGCACGAGCAGGCGCGAAGGACAGAGATGATAAACATTAGTCGCACTCAGCATCGGGAGCTGGGTAAAGGGACGGCTGGGCGAGAGATGGACAGTCATCTTCCTCTCTCTGCACCTCCTCCCCGTCCTCCTCCTCCTCCTCCTCTTCCTCTTCCTCCTCCTCCGTAACAATGTTGGCTCAATGTTTGAGTCCGCGTACGTTTGAAACGGCGCGCGGGCACGAGCCAATTCTGTGCACGACGGAGAGCGGCGAGGCCGCATACATGACAGCCAATGGTTTCCAGAAGCCACGCTGGCAGAATGCGCAGCAGTGGCTCTGCAAGTGGCGCACCCGTCCCAAATCTGGCGAGCGTTGGCGGAACCATGCAGACAGGAAGGAGTGCGGGTCTTCCGATCGGCCCGGAGGCTTCACTTTCTTCGGGCCAAGGGAGAGGCCAGCAGGCAGCGCCCCGTCGGTTTCAGCCAAGCAGAAGGTCGGGCTCGAGCGCAAGGCTGCCGCGGAGGCGGAGCGCGCTAGGAAGTCTGCTCTCCAGGAGAAGAACCGAGAGATTGGCAAGCTCTAGGAGCTGCTGTCAGCGAAGCAAGGGGTCGACGACATGGACGCGGACGAGGTCGCCGAGCCAAATGCCCAGGAGGCGCTGGCTGCGCTCTCCGCGGCGACCCGGGCCATCGGGAACCCCAAAGACCATGTGCTGGCACGTCGCAAGCAGGAGATGGCCCAGCAGCAGGCCACGCTCCGCACCAAGGCGCTGGCCGACAAGCCGATCGGGGCCAAGCTCCACCTGCTCACCAACCGGTGCTACACGCTTGAGAAGAAGAGGAAGAAGAAGAAGAAGAAGCGCCAGCACGCTGCCGTCACCAAGCTCAAGGAGAAGCTGGCGGAGATCCAGAAGCAGTTCGAGGATGCTGAGGCCGCCGTCAGGCTGCCAGCCTACACGTCTCCATGGACTGGGTCTTTCCAGCAGCGTGCGCCGTCCACCTATGATGGGGGTGGCGCCTCGTCCAAACCTTTTGCTCGATTTGATCGCGAAGTACACTGGGGCTCGGGCGTTGCGGATGCGTCGGGGGAGGGGCGAGCGCCACCTGCGCGACGCAGGCGCCCACGTCACCTCGCTGGGGAGGCAGGGCGCCATCCGGACGGACGCGCCCAAAGTCGAAGAGGCGGACCTAGAGGGACAAATTAGAGCGAATTGGTTTTCGCGTCTGGCCCCTGCCCTGCATCAAAGGTCAACGGATGCGCGGTCACTGCCGACGCGTCGTCCCACGGCCCGCTGCTCGACCATTTAGGCACAGCGCAAGTGGGCAGATGGTGATGCTGACGATGACGATGATGCTGGCAACGGTGATAGGGGGGATGATGATGGCGAGGATGGTGATTGCGATGATGGCGATGATGATGATTATGATGATCCTGATGGTCAAGGAACATCGCGCCCTGGGAGACAAGCTTGAAGTCGGGCCGGTCCCCCTACAGGGGGATTTTTCGACGAAAAATATAAGATACCCCAAACATACTCCAAAAATAGGCCAAACATAGTCTGGGGACTATTGTTTGATTATTGTTTGACCTCTTTGGTGTATTTTGGGGGTATTTGTTTCGTCGAAAATCCCCCTGTATGGGGGGCACGCCCGACTTGAGACAAGCTCGCCGAGGAGTCCAAGCCAGAGCTCTCCTCGCGAGGGTTCTGGAGGTGCCCGAGGCCCCCGCCGCGCCCGCGGGCAGCGGCGGGGCCTCGGGGGGAGTGGCCAGGAGGAGGAGGAGGAGGAGGAGGAGGAGGAGGAGGAGGAGGAGGAGCAACAGGAGGAGCAGAAGGAGGAGGAGCAGGAGCAGGAGCAGAAGGAGGAGGAGGAGGAGCAGGAGGAGGAGGAGCAGGAGGAGGAATTCTGGGCCCGAGCAATGCGTTGGTCTCGGCCCCTCACAGAGGCATCCCACGTGAAGTGCGCCCTGGGAGAGCTGCAGCAGCGAAGGTGCACTGGGGCCGCCCCGATGGCGTCGCGACTCTGTCTGCTTATCTGATCGTCAATGCGGGCTTGCAGTGCGAGAACATCAGCACCCCCCCCCAGAACAACGCAGGGTGCCTGCGCAAGCTCAACATCCTGACTGAGCACTGGATCATCGGAGGCGACTGGAACACGGACATCGACGAGCTGGACGAGTGATTCCACGCGGTGCGAGGGGTTAGGGTTGCCGCTGACTTGCCCGCGCGTATTTCCTCTTTCCCAGGCGCGACCAGGGATTTCTTCACACGCGTCCGAGAGCCTGCTGGCGTTGCTGGGCTCCGTAGTCTTCCACGCGGGGATTCCCGCATCGCCCTGTCGAGCTGGCGCTCATCACCCAGCCCAGGAGCACGTGCTGCAGGGCCCCATTGGAACCCCGAGCCCTCCCGATCATTCTGACTGTTGGTTGCGGAAGGTCCCCGTCCTGTTCGCGAACGGCGCATGGCGCAATCTACGCGCGACAACGCTTGCTCGCCAGACGACCCGGTGACGTGCTGGGGCCACGTGCTGGCTGGCTTGGAAGCCGAAGCTCTCGACAGGAAGGACATCATTGAGGCCTCAGCTCGCAAAGCTTACCTCGGGCGCGCGGGCCCGCCTCGAGGTGGGCGGAAAGCCGCCCATGCCTGGAACGCGCCGTCTCGCTGGCTGCGCCGCGCAAGATCTGCTTGGGCGAAGTTGCCGTCGCAGGTGGCCGGCCTCCATGGCGGGAACTTCGAGGCTGACCTCATGACCGCGTCCAAGCAGCCGCATTTCCTCTATATTCCTCCTCGCGCAGGGCGCCCAGGACAAAGTGGGTGATGGAGCGGGCCTCGGCCGATGCCCGCGCGTTTGCGGCCGGAGCGCCGTCGAGCATCATCGACTCCATCTCTGACAGCGGGGCCCGAGACTTGATCGACTGCGCGAACGCCAAGATTCGGGATCCCTTGACCAGTCCAGCGCTGATTGGACTGCCCGGGCAGAGACGTCCTTCCTACGCGGCGAAGGCGGGGCGCCTCGGTTTTCTCCGCTCAAGGAGCTCCACGAGATGGCTGCTGACACAACGAGGCCGCATCCCGTCCAACGATCTGATGATTGTCTTGGTTACTGGGAAAGGCGTTGGGAGATGCACCAGCGCTCGGAGGCACGGCCACCGCGCGGCGCGGACTCGCGGGACGAGTTGCCCCCCATCCCCGCGAGCGACATCAGGTCAGCGGGCGCCTCGTTCCCGACCGAGACGGCGCTGGGCCAGCTCGCGTTCAACCTGAAGTCGCTATGCCAGTTGTCCGACGTGGGCTTGGAGGCCCTTGCGCCCCTCTTCGCGGCATGTGAGAGGCTGCACTGGCGGCCGCCAGATCGCATTCAGACCTGCTGGGCTCGGCTTGGCAAGCCGGCAGGCGGGCGCCGTCTCATTGCTCTTGTCAACTCGCCGTTGCGCTTGCGGGGCAGTCTCAGGAAGCCCGTCTCGCAATCGCGGGGGCGATCGCACCGCCGCAAGGCCTTTTGGGGCCACGGCCCTGAAGCGAGCTCCTCGGGCGCTGCCTGCGAGCACAATGCAGGGGCGGAGGTGGCGACGGCGGCGGGAGGGGTACACTGCCAGCGTTTGTCTTGATATGTGCCATTGCTACGAATGCATTATAGTGGCGAAGCTTTTAACGGAGGCGCGCGAGCTACCATATCCCTTGAGCATGATTTGGGTGATTCTCTTGTTGTATCGATGTCCTCGTCTGGCGCAGGCCTACGGTTCGCTCTCGGCCCGCTGTCTCTCACCGAGGAATATGAGCTGGCCGCAGCCATGCCGACGCCATGATGCATATATTGCTGCGCCGTGCGGTCAGCAAGATGAACAGGATACATATACACACATATATAGGACTGTGCAGCCGCGCCTTCTCATGGACGATTCTAGTTTCCAGTGGGCAAGGAAACGACTCAGCGAGTGTGACGTGCTGCTGGCCGCGGTACATTGGTACTGCGAGCAACTGTTCCATCTCGGGCCGATGCTGCAGGTGCTCAAGAGTGGGTCAGTTGCCACCGCCGCCACAGCGTCGTCGAGAGTGTCGCCGTCTGCTCGCATTCTCAAACTGCGTATAGCTGCACCCACATGTGCAGTCTAGACTGAACGGGCCCCAGGACACACACAAATCAATACGCACAAATAAAGATAGCCCCCAGATTTCCCCATACTTTCTTGGTTT